ATGAATGCTCCAAATCCTCGACATATTGAATGCCTTTCTTGTAATGTCAGCGAAAAATGTTTGTTTAATAACGCGATATTCAGTCCAAACGGTCGCTATTATATATCCGAGTGTCTGGGTATGTGTGGTGGTTGACCCAAAACACCATATTTTCTATACTAAATTACATATAATTTGGTCAATATATAGGACCGGATATTCCGACAACATATCTGCTAACAGTTGATGACAACAAATTCATCGAAACGCTGGATATAAACGAAGAATTGAGAAAAACATTTGCGAAGACATCGTTGCCTAAAATCAAATACTTGACAATCCGTAGCGATAAGGGATCCGATATAAGGATTGAACTCATTTTACCACAACTTCTCATCGAAGACGAAGATACCAAATATCCAGCTGTTATTGAACTGTATGTTTGACTAAACGGCTAAATTGTCATTCACCATGTTCATTCATATATATTTAATTTTAATACATATTTCGCAAACAGCAATAACCGTCCGGACGTCCAATCGGTAAATTACGAGCACCGACTCGATTGGTCGAGATATTTGACGAGCAAAAAGGATTACATAACCATTCATATCGACGTGAAGGGCACTGGATATCAGGGGAATCGACATATGTTTGCAGTGATCGGCGAATTGGGCAAAGAGGAGGTCCAAGACTTGAAATACGCGATCACGTAATATACATGATATTATTGCTTTAAAAACTGCTAAATAATAAAGTGATTGATTTAATAGTTATCTGAAAAAATCGCTGCCGTATATCGATAAGGACAAGATCGTGGTCTGGGGCCGCGATTACGGGGGCTTTTTAACAGTATCCCTATTGGCCACCGAAGAGATCGTCACGTGTGCCATCGCTGTCACCCCAATCGCCAATTGGAAAAATTACAGTTAGTTTTTATTAAAACTAAATTTCTTAGTTTTTTAAAGTATTTCATATAAATTTAATGACTATTGTTTAGTGTCTGTATTCTCCGAGCGCTATATCGGTCAGCCTTACTCTAACTTTGACATCAATTACCAAAACTCCCGATTGACACAAATAATTGAACAACATTTCAAAAACTTAAAGGCGAAGACATTTCTGTTAGTTCACGGGACGAGTGATAAACGCGTTAATATCGATCATTCAATGAATCTCATGAAGACATTAACAGACAAATCGGTTCAGTTTAAAGTACAGGTAATACTATCTCTCAATTTGTAGGCCATTTGTCTGACCAACAAATTAAATAATTATATTAAAAGTTATGAATAACTGATTTGTGTGTCCAATAGTTATATCCGGACAGCGGTGTGATTGAATCGTGGGATCAATCGGTTCGGAAACACTTCTACCTAACAATGGAGGACTTCTTTGCCAAATGTTTTCAAGTGGAAGACGAGGAAGAGATTGATTTGTTGAAGAACTTGACGCCATGGAAGAAAGGGGTTCGCAAACCCAAACTGTGAACGAGATTACTGACCACAACTCCCTGTCCTTTACGACCAATACTAATGTGAAATCAATGTATAAATGAATGTATGAATGAAAGGATTCACTCTTTATTTAAGCCCACAATTCAGTCATCACTTCTCATCGTTAGTGAAGGCATGAATGAGACGTTTGTTTTGCAACAAAATATAAGACTAATTATTTGATAAATCTATTTAATGATGTTTTATATGGATTTAGTGAACACGCCTTTCATTCATTAACACTTCTCATCGTCAGTGAAGGCATGAATGAGACGTTTGTTTTGCAACAAAATATAAGACTAATTATTTGATAAATCTATTTAATGATGTTTTATATGGATTTAGTGAACACGCCTTTCATTCATTACTACACAATAATATAAGTTATTCTCGTAATTAAGTTGTAAACGCTTTTACGTTAATTATTAATTACTTTTGTGTTTGAGTTCACAATAATTTAGTTCAAATAATACATTGATTTTTTAATTTACTTCCAAATATAGTTTGAATTATTATTTTTTATACATATATAGAAATTAAATATATTTTTTGCTTTAAATACGGAAAACAATCTGAGATTCTGTTTAAACAATTGATTAGTGAAATATTATGCAAACAAAACACTAACAATCGGCGAGTGATTGAATTTATGTACATTTTATTTAGTGTAAGAAAATAGCATATAATAGTAAAAACAGATTGAGATAAGAATATAATTAATATAAAACGAGTTCTAATTGAGATTATGATAAGATTCAGATGTTTTCAATTTAGATATGTATTAATATTCTGTATATTCTTTATGTTTACACATAAAGTCATTTATTTAACATTTTATTTATTAGTCCAGAATATTCTGTCAATTCTATTGACAATTAGTTAAGCCTTTTTATATTATGTTAGAAGTTGTAGAAAATGAGAAACATTTTCATTCTTACAAAAAATTCTTGACAATTGATTAATATATTAATTAATTATCTATAAAATACTTGCGAACAGTAATGATAGTTGCTTTTGGTTTACGTCTAATTCGTTAGCATTAGTGCCAAATATAAGCCCAAAAGACTGTTTTCCATATGAAATTAGATTCAAAAAATGTAACCAAAAATTTCCAGTGAAAGCACTATTGAGAAAAATTCAAATTCAATGTAACAAATGTTAAAAATACTCTCTTTAATAATGAAAGAGTTTTTCTCTTGCATTATATGCTGTGTATAATAAATGTTGTGTTTTATTCACGACTCTCTCCCTAATCGACTTAATAGTCGACTGAATCGCACGCATATTATTATACACTCATTATTATTATGATATTATAATTACGGTTAGAGTAAAGGCTTCCCTGAAAAGCATAAAAACACATTAAAAATATATACAAGTTTTGCTTTTAATAATAATAAAACATGAATAGCAATGACAACAATTCATATTTTATAACAACAAAAACATATATCTATAACATTAATGCAAACACTCTTTGTATGTATTCCCAGTGATCGCTACCAGAAGTCAAATCAATCATCTCTTTCTTAATGTTTGCTTTCTATGAGTTATAAAACGAGAGATTATGTGAAAAAAGGATATAAAAATGAGTTAAACCAAAAATATATGTGTTTTCAAATGATAATTGTGTGAAATCATGAGTTAGATGTTAAAACATTGCATGAATTCGTCCCCTATCTCTGTGTCCCATGTTTTGTGTCGTTAACTACACATACATTTCATTTCATTTATTATACAAAAAACAATCCATTTTATTGTATGAAATAATTTGAATGTTTGTAAAGTAAGAGTTTATAAAACTGTTAAATAAAACGATGTTTTTAAATAATCATATCTTAATAACGTTATTATATTTGTTATTAAATATACACCACAACCGACGGGAATCTAATATGACGATAAAACAATTAATTTAATTACTTGCGTTTTAATCCTACTTTTTATTCCAACTTATGTATTGTTGAATATGGTAAAATGCATACAAATTCTGTATTATAAAATTCAATCTTTATTAAATAATTATTAGTATCTAAATTATTGAATTACAGTCTAGGATAAACGGATATATTTAGTGTGTAGAGCATTCAATTAAAAATAGGAAACAAATTAAAAATTTATAAATTAATCTAGATGTTACACCTAAAATAAAATAGTCTATAGATTCTATATTTTGAATATTTATTGAATATTTTTGATCAAGACTATAGTGTTTTAATATTTATACAACAATGTTTTTATTATAAATATTCAAACACTGTATCGACGAAAACTTTTATAAGACTCAACATATGATATAAATATTTAATTGTGGAAAATTTATCAGTAAAAATGTATGAATTTGTGTTAACATCTTAGCAAATACGACAAAACATACTCTTTTATCAATAATTCATATAAAGGACAATTGAATGGAAATTTTCATTTTAATTTTGCAAGTTTTTTGCTTTTTTAATATAACGTTGTGTTGTATTTACATTAGATATTAGTCTAATTCATAAAACCTATACATAAATCTAAAAATAAATCGAAATTATATTAATATTTCATCAGTTAAAAAAATATAGAAATAATTGAAAATATATTAAATGTTTTGTCATAACTTATGACTCATAAGTATTATGTTTACACAATATAAACATCGTCTTTGATCTATTAATATAAAAAATAAGTTTTACTCAAAATATTTTCATCTAAAGTACACTATATATTAAATTTAGACATAATGTCTATATTTAGAAAACTAGATGTTTTCATCAATTTATATTTCAGCAAAAAATCTCACAAAATAGTTAAGAAAAATAATTTTAGACACATTTGAGTTATAAATACTTCAATAAACACTTAAAAGATATTTATAGACATTTTTGATATGATTCTACAACTCTTAAGATTATAAACAATTTCCAAATTGAGTAAATTATTGACACAAACTCTTCACTTTTAATCGCAAATAACGCTAAAACACTATTAATATAATTAGTTTTCAGTAATTTATTAGAGATATATTATACTAAAAGTTTTGCCAAAAGTAATGACAAACTGGTGTTGAACTTAAATACAATGTCTTGAGAGACAACCAAAACGGAGTTAATATAATGAATGACATATGTTTAATGCGAAAGTAAAAGGTGAGATGTATTGATCATACTGCTATACTGTAAGTATTCAATATTACTAACCAATATTTATTCAATGATCAATACATCTCACCTTTTACTTTCGCATTACACATATAATAAAGAGTAGAGAAATGTCTTAACAAATGTCTAAATGCTTTCAACATTTTTGCACATTTATTGCTATTTCGCATCCGTTATAACACAAGTTGTGTTTCGCTCTACTCTTCATCCGATGTCTTACGAGAGGAAGTGATTAACATATCTATAAGAAGTAATATCACATATGAAAAGCCCTATTCAACAAAAAAAAATCTTTCTTTATAATCACATTTTAACAGGTTTTGAGTTTTATTTTGACGACAAAATATTACATAATGTCATAAATATATGAATATTTATGAGATTTCTATTAAAGTCAATTCTCAATGAAAAGTCATTACGTAGAGGTTATAAATTCATAAATAAAACTTCATAAAAATGATAATTTATTGTTTAATCTTAATTTTAAGCAATTCAATCAAATCAGACCATTTCACTTCTCGAGACAACAAATCAACTTTTTTATTGCCAACACTTTTATTGTGCATTTCATTCATCATAAGTGAGTACATCGTTGGCGGAGGAGTGGGACCACAGTTGCGATTGTACTGTATGTGAAAGGCTTCGTCGGCCACTTCATAATTGGCACACTTTTGCGGTTCATATATAATGATATTGGAGTCCAATATTAGTCGTTGAGGGACCGGTCTTCGGGGCTCTAAATCCCAATCCGGAGACTCAACTACTCTTCCCATTGGATACGGTTTCACAACACGCGACACATCATTAGGTGTTGTCTGATCTTTGCGCTCATTGTATGTGTTGTTTGTCTGCAGAAACGGTTTGTATTCATCGCAATCATCTCTATCCGCCTTCTCGTCCTCACTCTCTATCGATTCATTTAAACGACACTAAATTTAAACAAAATGAGTGTTTCAAAAGTGCATGTCTTATGTTTTATCGTACGAATAGTTGCATTTCATTTGCCAACTCTTTGGCAACATTTTTCGAGAGCCGAGAATTGTTTGAATCTATGGACGAGTTTTTAAACTCCAATTCTTGTATGAAATGATCGGAATATTCTATGAAATCGTCGGCCGTTTCCTTGTTTTCGCCCAAAACTTTAATCTTTTAATTAAAACAATATTTAATTTAATTAACGCTAAAATCAATGTTTGGGATTAAAAACAAAACACTTTTGCAAATTCTGTGACATCTGTTTGAATGCATTTGTCTTCGGTTTGCGAACACAACACATGTTTGACCGCATTTTTAACACTCATATGATGGCCAACATTGGGATTAATTTCGCTATTTTTGACAAAATCTGATAATGAATTCAATTTAGTTGTGTTGACACCACTGTTGTTGTCGTCGAGCTTTAGAGCACAGAAATATGTTTTGTTGAGCTCTGCTTTCAAATCAGTGGACTTTCTTATGTCGTGAATTGATTTGAAGACATCCGACACTAGAAATGAATTACTTTCTGACAGATTCCGAGTGATGGCCGATATCTTAGATAACTTTTCTGAACAAAGCATTTAGAAAACAGGTTTTATTGCAAATAATGTATTTAATTATAGATTTTACTTGAATTTGGTATCGATTCCATTGATTTTGTATTTGTCGCTCGTTTTACTTTCACAACCTTTTTTGAATTACAATTTAATTAAGAATAATTTAAATGACAAACAATAAAAACTTTGTTTTATGTCTTTAGGCAAATATAAGGCACTATTGTTTTGTTTGAATTAAAAATTTAGTTTTTTAAAACAACAGTTTTGTTAAGTAATTGTAAAATTTTGAGATCTTCTGTATTTACCTATTAATTAAATTCCAAAAACATCCGATTCTGATGTAAACATTAAATTAAAATTTTGATTTTAAAACATGAATTTTAAAATTTGAATATTTTTTAATTGTTAATAAACGAGACGATAATAATTAGTAATTACTAAATCATTCAATAATAAAAATGCTAAATTTTTAGAATAAACAATTTATTGATTTTTACTTGTAATCGCATACAAAGACATCAATGATAGTCACATCATTATTAGAGACTTACTTTACATTAATCTATCAATTATTTATTCAATTAAACTTTAAGACAGTTTGTTTTAAAATTCAATTTATAAAATATCATTAAATTGATTGCAAAATACTTTTAGAAAAAAATAACATAAATCTGATTGTAATCTGAAAATCTATATTAAAGTGCATTTAGAGAAAAAATAACATAATTTATCAAATAAGATACATAACAATAATCCTGAGGCAAAACATCAATATATTAATGTTTATAGCATTTTTAAAATTTTATTACAATAATTAGTTTAAGTAGAAAAATGCACGAAAAATACGCTCACACAAAATTTAGTAAATATTTTGGATATTATTATAAAACTGTTTAAAATATCTACTATAAAATACATAAAAACTCTAACAACCATGTGTGAAGTGATGATTTAATTTCACTGAGATTTGTGCCTTTAGGTCATACAGGTTTGTGACAACTCTACAATAGTATGGCATGAATAGGGCTGAAGGGCCAGCACTTAAACATGAGTTCGTTAGCGACCATCACTGCTATGCTGTATAGACTGCAAGAATCGACAGAATATTCTCTCCATAAAACCCATTATTTGTTTGGATGACAACAAAAGTAGTAGAAAATCAATGTATTATTTGTCCGTTCAATAAAACTCGCAATTTTTTCACAAACTCTTTTGAAATTTGACGTTTGGCTTAATGTTTGTAAATATTATAATTATTTTACAAATATGTTTGTTATAACAGAATATAAAATTAGAAATGGCAAAACTTAAGTGGTTGACATTTTGTAAATCATAGTAATATTTATTAATTGCGGTAAATTTTACATTAAACTATTACTTTAATTATTAATAAAGGTGGCTTATATTGTGATTACAATAATTATAAAGACAAAATGACATCAAATACCGCTATAACCGATATACCGTTAATTGTAAAATAATTATTTTTTAAAAATCGTTCATTACAGTAAATATGGCAGGGTGTGCAGGTGACAGAGAAACTTACATACTAATTTGGCAATTATATTTACACTGTGTAACATATATAATGTTTAAAAATTTTATTTAAGTGAATAAGATACTATATTTTATTCCTTTGAAAATAGACTTTTAAAGGGTATAGATATGTAAATGAATCCTTTCTACAGAATTGATTATATTATGAGAGAGAGAGAGAGAGAGAGAGAGAGAAAATAGTCGTTGAATTCAATCCGATATCTCGTAGAAAATTCTCAAACAAATACTTTAAAGCAGTTCTCAATCTCTGAATTTTCAAACACTCGATGTATTTCTCGGAATAATTTAAAACTTAAGCTTAGATTTGGTTTTTTATTTCTTNGAGAGGGAGAGAGAGAGAGAGAGAGAGGGAGAGAGAGAGAGATTGTATTCATGTTTAACAAAAGAAATAAAAAACCAAATCTAAGCTTAAGTTTTAAATTATTCCGAGAAATACATCGAGTGTTTGAAAATTCAGAGATTGAGAACTGCTTTAAAGTATTTGTTTGAGAATTTTCTACGAGATATCGGATTGAATTCAACGACTATTTTCTCTTCAATAACTTAGAGTCAGACTTGAATTTTAAATAGACTAACAAATAGAGTAGAAATCATTATTACGTGACAAAGTATATTGAAATAGTATTTTGATAACAATGCAAATATTATCATGGTATCATGATTAAGTTAAACTCCAATACATGTATTATAAATCTATCTATTTGATTTTAAAGAGCAATATTTTTGGCAAAGTGTTAGTAAATTCTATTACGGTACATAACACTTATAAAATATTTTTGTAATTTTTACTAAATCTATACTAATTTATACAAATTATTATTTATATTATAATAATTAACTTACTATATTGTAAATATTAAAATAATAATTTAATTTTAATTAATTATGTTAGAAAAAAGTATACAATTATAAGTTAATTATTTAGTAAAACATTTTTGTAATAAATTTTAATTAATTTGAATAATACTACTGTGAATATACTGTAAAGTAAAGAATACATAAAAATATTATATAATAAAATAAATGTAAAAATAAAAGTAGAAAATATTCGTCTAAACAATGCCGAAAATGTGATGCAAATTCTTGAGCCAATATATTATTTTGTATAACAAATGTTTTACAAAATGTTTTTCAATCAATCAGTGTTGAGTCAGTTGAGGCAATTCTGTTCGGCCTTCAGTTTTGGAAATAGTAGTAATAGGTGTTGACTATTACTGACCCAAACCATTGCCATCAGTCAACACAATGTTCTCAAAAACTGAAAGCCGGGCACAATTGCATGACAAGTGAGTTTGTGTGAAAAAAACATAAAAATCCATTTAAAACCATAAGCTTTTTGTAAAACAATGTACGGAGACTAACAATATATTGCAATTCACTATTGCATACTAATATCCAATGACTTAAAGTTTTACTTATAATCTGTTTTTATTAGCAATTTCTTTGGCATACATTTTGATAAAATTCTTTGCATTTATAAAAAGGCTTTCAAAATAAAAATTAAATGTCAAGAGAATTGCAAATAAAATAAATTCACTTCAATATAAGTGTGTTATACACGATATGCGACAACTTATGCTAGTTATAAAAACATGAGTCTTTTTAATATAAGTTATATACAGTATGTTGTATATTATATAACTAAATAAATACTGCGAAACGATTTTTGATATATTAATTGTTTAGTGTATTGATCAGTAGATTAAAATTAAATGTAATATATTTTCTAGTTATGATCGTATTTTAGTTTATCATTGCTTTTTGAGATCAATTAAATTGCCGTTCAATCAATACATTGTATTCACAATAATTGTGAATATGCAATTATTGCATTAATATTTTCAATCAATTAATTCCAAAAAATTTTATTATTTTTAAAAACAAACCAAATGTTAAATCAGTATTATATACTTAACTGTCATGATAGGAAAAATAAAAAATATAGAAAGTGAAAACTATAGAAGGGAATAGAAAACAAGAGTAGGAGAGGGAGTGGGTAACAAAGTTTGAGGGCTGACTGCTAGTTGAATTATAATTTAAAACAATAATTTGAACGTAATTATTTCAAGCTTGATTTATAGCAATTTTTATACAGTATATTACATTGTTGAGATATTTTAAGAAAATTATTTATTGAAAATAAAATATTTTGAACCAAATATGTTTTACAATATATTAATTAGATTTTAAGAACTGCATTGTAGAAAACAATTTAGTAAAATGCCTCTCATCTAAAGCTTTTGTATTAATTATTAATATTGGATTTTTGTACATTATAAAGAAATATATAAATATCAACAAGCTAGAGAGAGAGAGAGAGAGAGAGAGAGAGAGAGAGAGAGAGAGAGAGAGAGAGAGAGAGAGAGAGAGAGAGAGAGAGAGAGAGAGAGAGAGAGAGNAATGTACAAAAATCCAATATTAATAATTAATACAAAAGCTTTAGATGAGAGAGAGAGAGAGAGAGAGAGAGAAGGTTTGGAAACATCCGGCTCAAATTATCAAGTGTTGTAATAGGATTTGAACCAATTTTCTAAAAAGGATTATAGACTTATGTGAGAGAAAATACCAGATATTTGTCTCGTGTGTAATAATTTAGCGAAATATTACATGTTTTAAGCAATTCTCACATAATATTTAATGGAGATAAAAGTCATGACAATATGACAATAAAAATAATAAAACGTAATGTTATTACTCTTATATAACCCATACTTTTAAATCCAAAGTGAAGATCAAACAAAAAGACTGAAACACTTCACTCCGACAAATACATAGACTTATAGTTTTGCAGAGAAACTCAATAAACAGTCAATTGTGTCATATGTTAAGCCGAAACACTTAGAGATTAGTTGTTAGAAATTTTATAACTACTGCCGTTCGGACAAATCCGTATTAGTAATACATTGCATAATACACTGCATTCAATATATCATAAACACTTATTTTGCTTAATTCTAACGCAATTATAATGTGAAATACTACTGACAATAGATATGGTAATTGCAAATAAACTGAGTCTATGGTCTGATAATATCCTCAATCAATACGATTATGTGTTTATAACAAATATTTTATCAATAATTCCGAACTTCTTATGACAATAATTATGATAAGTTTGAAAACAATTTTCAATACAAATAATGATTAGATATAAGTTATATAACAAACATTTAGTTAGCAATTGTAGGTATTATGTAAGTCATGAAATATTGTGTGACATTTAGCTTTAATAACAAAAGACATTAATAAACAGTTAACAAAATTATATCGTTTTTATAAGCAATTAAAGTCAATAAAATTGATCCCAAAACTAAAGCAATCAATCAGACAATAGCACCACAAAATAGGAAGTCAACAATAAGAGCGCAAATTTTATCATTGAATGAATGAAATGCGATAATAAGTCATACGTTTAAATGACTTCTTAAGCAATTCATCAAATTTACTACTCTTTTAGAGTAGGAATCCATCACTTCATCTGATCTCTGCTTTTATTGTATAGCTTTTGTGTTGAATGCAATGCGCGAACCAATCGCTTATATGTAGTAAAGACTTCCCAATCCTATGGAGGTATCCATAGAAACAGTGCCACAGAATCGAGAGATTCTCGGCTCTTATATCTCGACACAGACTTCACTGGCTTTAAAAAGCAATGCATTTCTGTTGTATTCCTTCAGTTCTGTACAAAATATACAACTCTTTCCCTACAATAAGAAGAGAGTGAGAAACAAGTCATATCAGTGCACGTGTTATCACATATACTCTTATACAACAATATATCAATTGTTTTAATCGTTTTTGCATTCCAGACGTCAATACCGGGATATCGTTAAAAATCAATACCTGTTTTGTATTTTGTTGTTTAGTTTATATACTTTTTTCTTGTTCTTGTCGGACAAATAATTATTTTCTGTGTGCATATTATTGCGAGTAAATCGTTATAAACGAGAGTTTTAGTCAAATATCATTCAGTAATAATATACTCAAACTCTTATGATTAGTGTTTCTGTGAGTCTCGTTAGTGCGATATAAAGCGAGAGTGCATTCAAACAAGTGTTTTGTATAATATTTCACGAGATCTGTATTTACTATAAATCTTTCGGATTTAACACTCATTATATAATATACAACTATCTGTAAGTATTGACAAAAATTATTTCACAGAATTAACAAAGACCTAGTGTTTAGTTGATTATATTTTTAGTATAATAATAATAATAATAATAATAATAATGAGAGATTGTTTTACAGTACTAAAATAACCATGTTTGTATAACGAATAATTTTGTTAATTCCCAAATAAATAATATATATTATATAGTTTGCTTTTAGAGTTTTTTTTTGTGCAGAAATGTTGATAAGTTTGACTTCTTAAGAACCAATCAAACCCTATGCCATCCCTTAAGACAGTTTGTGTGTCAATAAAACACTAATAAAAACAATTGAATTAATGAATGGCTAAATCTTTAAACACAACACTTAATTAAGTCACTATTGAATCCAATCGTGCACTTCATTTGCATTCCCAAAATTCACAGATTTATTGCAAACTCAATATTTTGGTGTAA